AGAAGGGTTCATTGCATAGTTTTAAAAAGTATTAGCAGATCTGGGTGCTCTCATTTTTTTTCATTGTATCCTCTATGTTTCTACTTAATTCTTTGAATTTATGGAATGCAGTTATAGTAACTGTTTTAATGTCACTTTCTGCTATTTCTAACATCTCTGTTGACTCTGAGAAGTATTTGATGATTGACTTTTCTTCTTCTTATGAGTTGTGATCTTCTGTTTTGTGCCTGGTAATCTTTGAATAGATGCCAGGCAAGGCTAATATTACCTTTGTTGGATGGTGGATGTTTTTGTTCCTCTATAAATATTCTTGCACCCTTGCCCCTGGTCACTTGGACAAAGCTTTCCTGCCCTTGCCCCTGCTTACTTAGAAAAAGTTTTATACTCTCAGGTCTTATTTTTAAAATATGTTATGTGTGATTTATCCAGACTAATAATTCCTTGTGAGTAAGCAAGACCCCCCCCCCCAAAGCATCCACCCACCATGCTCAGGAGGCTGTCCAGGCTGGGAGGTGGGATTTTGGGGCTTCAGTGCTGCTCATGGGCCCTCTTGGGTGGTTTTGTTCCTGGCCCAGCAGCTGCTCTATGTCTCCCCTGGTCTGCACTCCACTGTGACCCTCTGCCATCACCAGACTTCTCCCCAGGCAGCTCTCTCCTGCCAAACTCTGTTCTGAGAACCTTAACCCTCTTGGCCTCCTGGAGCCTCTGTCTCCCCAATGGGGCCCCATGTCTGCCTGTGCTCCCATCCCTGGGCTGCAGCCTGGAAACTCTCTGAGGTGGTAACTGGGGGTGTGTGTTCCTGTCTTAAGGATCAACATCCTTCCCAGTCAATGCCCCTATGTATCGACCATATCTTTTGTCTGGTTGTTGTTGCTGTTTCCAGTGGGAGAGGAAATCTAATCCCCATTGCTCCTTCTTGGCCAGAAGCAGACATCTACCATAACTTACGCTTTTTTTTTTTTTTTTTTTTTTTTGCAGTTTTTTGTCCAGGGCTGGGTTTTGAACCCACCACCTCTGGCATATGGGGCTGGCACCCTACTCCTCTGAGCCACAAGTACCGCCCAAATCATTCTTTTTAACTCTTTTTCTTTTTTTTTTTTTTTTTGAGACAGAGCCTCAAGCTGTCCCCCTGGGCAGAGTGCCGTGGCATTACAGCTCACAGCAACCTCCAACTCCTGGGCTCAAGCGAGTCTCCTGCCTCCGCCTCCCAAGTAGCTGGGACCACAGGCGCCCGCCACAACGCCCGGCCATTTTTTGGTTGCAGCCGTCATTGTTGTTTGGCGGGTCCGGGCTGGGGATTCGAACCCGCCACCTTAGGTGTACGTGGCTGGCGCCTTAGCCGGTTGAGCTATAGGCGCCGAGCCCTTTAACTCTTTTTCTTTTCTTTCTTTTTCTTTTGTTTTGTTTTGTTTTGTTTGAGACAAAGCCTCAAGCTGTCGCCCTGGGTAGAATGCTGTGGTATCACAGCTCACAGCAACCTCCAACTCCTGGGCTTAAATGACTCTCTTGCCTCAGCCTCCCAAGTAGCTGGGACTACAGGCGCCTGCCACATCACCCGGCTATTTTTTGGTTGTAGTTGTTGTTTGGCAGGCCTGGGCTAGATTCGAACCCACCAGCTCTGGTGTATGTGGCTGCTGCCTTAGCCACTATAACATATGCTTTTACTAGTGGGTTGTTTTTTGTTTGTTTGTTTGTTTGTTTGCAGTTTTTGGCCGGGGGCAGGTTTGAACCCACCACCTCTGGTGTATGGGGCCAGTGCCCTACTCCTTTGAGCCACAGGTGCCACCCTTTACTGGTGTTTTTAAAAGAGGCTCAACAGGGGACGTTTTGCAGACACACTGGGCCCAGAGCCCCGCCTGTCTCTCCTCAACCTCTGCACCTCCTGAGGTCCGTCCTCTCTCTGGCCTGTATTGCTCTCCTGCCCTTGCCCCTGCTCACCCCTGTGTCAGTTAGATCTATTCGGAATTTCAAGTTGTGTCTTCTTTCTTCTCTTCATTTCTCCTCTGTTGCCATCAGCACTATCGCAGGCAAACACAGAGCCTTTCTGGGCAGCAGACCCAGGTTGAGCCCACTGACACTAATCCTCAGGATCAAATATAGGCCACTGGTGTCCAGAACATTCTGCAGAAGTGGCCCTGACAAACCATGCCCCAGCCAGGCCAGCTGTCCTCTGCATCCCTCAGCTCTGATGCCCAGACCATCTGCCTCGACCCTGCATGAAAGAGCAGACTCACCAAAATAGCTATTAATGGGAAAGTATCCTATAATTACAACACGGTTATGCCAATTACCCCAACCTGCTGAAGGGAAAGCTTTAACTTCCCCATGGGATTGGCCCTCAGGTCTGAGGAAGGAAAGACAACCTGAGGCCTCTGTGGTGCTCAGGATGGGCAGCCACCCTCACCCTGGCAGCTGGCCTCCACCCACCAGCCCACGATGACAGAGGTGTAGTGGTAGTGAGAGTCTGCAGCCTTCAGGAGCTGAAATGCCAACTCCCACCACCCGGCCTGTGCACAGTGAGTATAGCCCCCAAGCCTCTGACACAGCCAGAGGCATCCTTGCTGCAGCCCCCAAAGGAGGGGTGTTGGGGCTGCAGGAAGCTGGGAACGCCAGGCCATGATGCTGCTCCCCCACCACTAGCCACTTCCCAGCACACAGTCCCTCCTGCATCTCTCAGCCTATGGGAAGCAGCCAAGTTCCTCTGTCCTCCCCCAGCTTGAAGACCTCCTCCCAAATCCTCAAATAAAAGCAAGCACAGGCTCAGCGCCCGTAGCTCAGTGAGTAGGACACTGGCCACATGCACCAAAGCTGGCAGGTTTGAGCCTGGCCCGGGCCTGGTAAAGAATAATGACAACTGCAACCAAAAAATAGCTGGGCATTGTGTCAGGCGCCTGTAGTCCCAGCTACTTGGGAAGCTGAGGTAAGAGAATCACTTAAGCCCAAGAGTTTGAGGTTGCTGTGAGCTGTGATGCCACAGCTGTTACAGGGCGACATAGTGAGACCCTGTCTCAAAAAAAAGCACAATGAATACTGGTGTATTCATTGCCTGAGTCCTCACCATTTCAAGGCTGTGTTCTTAGAAATACTCACTAATGGCTCGGCTCCTGTGGCTCAAGTGGCTAAGGCACCAGCCACATACACCTAAGGTGGTGGGTTCGAATCCAGCCTGGGCCTTCCAAACAACAATGACGGCTGCAACCAAAAAATAGCCGGGCGTTGTAGCAGGTGCCTGTGGTCCCAGCTACTTGGGAGGCAGAGGCAGGAGACTCGCTTGAGCCCAGGAGTTAGAGGTTGCTATGAGCTGTAATGCCACGGCACTGTACCCAGGGGGCCAGCTTGAGGCTCCGTCTCAAAAAAAAAAAAAAAGAAATACTCACTAATTAAATAAGTACGTATGAAAGCAAGCCCAGGGCAAACATCCTTCCCTGCTCAGCAGCATGTGATCTTGGGACCGCTTTGTCAACAGGCTGACAGACAGTGAGAGCACTGGCTAGCAGAGGGCTTTGTCTTGATTACTGGCTGCTCCGCAAGGGACTCTCAGACTGGGGGCCTAAAATAGCAACCTATCCTTAGGACTTAAAGCTCCATGGTGGGCTGAGCTCAGCTGAGTGGCTCTTGCCTGGGGGGTCTCCTGTGTAGTGAGGTAGACACTAAGCCTGTCTCCATCTCTTTCCACACAGCCTCTCCCAACGCAGGACTCTGAGCCTCTAGATACTTACTCTCTGAAGTCACACTGTGTTTTATCCCCCACACACTGTGGCTTAAACAAAGTCAGATCCAGTGCAGGAGGGATACATAGTGGTGAGTCCTATGAGGCCTTGTCTTCCAAAAGACTGTCCTACAAAGGGTTGGTTAAAGTCTAGCAAGTCGGCTTGGGGCCCATAGCACAGTGTTTATAGTGCCAGCCACATACACCAAGGGTGGCAGGTTCGAACCCAGCCCAGACCAGCTAAACAGCAATGACAACAGCAACAAAATATAGCCCGGTGGGGCAGTGCCTATGGCTCAAGGAATAGAGTACCCCTCCTTATACCAAGGGTGGCAGGTTCAAGCCTGGCCCTGGCCAAAACTGGAAAAAAAAAAAAAAAAGCCAGGCATTGCCCTCTACCTTTAAAAAAAATTTTTTTTTTTTTTTAAGTCTAGCAAGTCTTTGCCATCCAGTGGTCTGGGGTGCAGCCCAGAGATCGGTACTTCGGGGGTTTTTTTGTTTGTTTTTGTTTTTTTTGTAGAAACGGAGTCACACTTTATCATCCTTGGTAGAGTGCTGTGGAGTCACACAGCTCATAGCAACCTCCAACTACCGGGCTTAGGCAATTCTCTTGCCTCCGCCTCCAGAGTAGCTGAGACTACAGGCGCTTGTCACAACATCCAGCTCTTTTTGTTGTTGTTGTTGTTGTTGCAGTTTGGCCAGGGCCAGATTTGAACCCGCCACCCTCCATATATGGGACCGGCTCCCTACTCACTGAGCCACAGGTGCTGACTTCTGGAAGCCCCTGAACAAGTATGAACACAAAATAGCTGCCTCCAAAGGAAATGACTTAAATGTTTGGTTTTTTTTGTTTTTTTTTTTTTGAGACAAGCCTCAAGCTATCACCCTGGGTAGAGTGCTATGGCATCACAGCTCACAGCAACCTCCAGCTCCTGGACTTAAGCGAGTCTCTTGCCTCGGCCTCCCAAATAGCTGGGACTACAGGCACCCACCACAATGCCTGGCTTTTTTTTTTTTTCTGGTTGTAGTTGTCATTGTTTGGCAGGCACGGGCTGGATTTAAACCCACCAGCTCTGGTGTTATGTGGCTGGTGCCTTAGCCATTTCAGCTACAAGTACCAAGCCAGAAAATGACTTAAATATTAGGGAATTAAGAGAAGTGCTTAGGAACTTCAAAAAAGTCTTCAAATATTTTCTTTCAAAAATTGCACCTTATGGAGCATACTTTGAAAGCCACAAATAAAGGCTGTTACAGCATGGCGTTTAACAATTTGTCTAAAAAACAACTCCCAAGTTTTGCCCAGTGGCAGTATTGTAGCCAATGAGGTTTATCTGAGGCACGATTATTCAGGGTTGAAAACTTTTCCCAATACCCCTCTGTGACGACTTGCAATATAATCGGCACTGGCAATCTTTTTTTTTTTTTTTTAATGAGGCAGAGTCTCACTATATCACCCTCAGTAGAGTGCTGTGGTGTCACAGCTCACAGCAACCTCAAACTCTTGGGCTTAAGTGATTCTCTCTCTCTCTCTTTTTTTTTTGTGAGACAGAACCTCAAGCTGTCCCCCTGAGTGAGTGCCATGGCATCACAGCTCACAGCAACCTCCAACTCCTTAAGTGATTCTCTTGCCTCAGCCTCCCAAGTAGCTGGGACTACAGGCGCCCACCACACTGCCAGCTAAGCACTGGCAATTTTTAACTGTCTCTACAGAGACTGAATAAAAATAATAATAATAATAAACTCCAGGCTTAGTGCCTATAGCTCAAGCAGCTAAGGTGCCAGCCACATACATCAGAGCCAGAGGGTTCTAATCCAGCCAGGGCCTGCCAAACAACAATGACAACTATAACCAAAAAAATAGCTGGGTGTTGTGGCAGGCACCTTAGTCCCAGCTACTAGGGAGGCTAACGCAAGAGAATCACTTGAGCCCAAGAGTCTGAGGTTGCTATGAGCTATGATGTCACAGCACTCTATTGGGGACAACAAAGTGAGACTCGGTCTCAAAAAAACAAGAAAACAGGCTCCGTGTGTAGGGTGCCAGCCACATACACTGGGGCTGGTGGGTTCAAGCCCAGCACAGGCCTGCTAAACAACAATGACAACAATAACAGAAAAATAGCCAGGCATTGTGGCGGGCACCTGTAGTTCCCGCTACTTGGAAGGCTGAGGCAAGAGAATCACTTAAGCCCAAGAGTTTGAGATTGCTGTGAGCTGTGACACCATAGCACTCTACCTAGGGCAACACAGTGAGACTCGGTCTCAAAAAAACAAAAAAACAAAAAAACAAATAAACCAACAAAAACTAGTTGTTGCAGTTAATATACTACTATTTTGATAAATACAAAAATATGTTTTATTACATCTCAGTTTCAGGTTTCAAAACAAAATCTCAATCATATCTCAAAAAAAAATTTTTTTAGACAGTCTCACTTTGTCACCCCTGGTAGAGTGCTGTAGCATCATAGCTCACAGCAACCTCAAATTCCTGAGCTCAAGTGATTCTCTTACCTCAGCCTCCCAAGTAGCTGGGACTACAGGCACCTGCCACAAGGCCTGGCTATTTCTTTTTTTTTAGAGACAGGGAAGCTGCTTGGGAGGCTGAGACCAGAGAATCACTTAAGCCCTAGAGTTTGAGGTTGCTGCGAGCTATAATGCCATGGTACTGTACAGGGGGTAACAAAGTGGGACTCCGTCTCAAAAAAAAAATTATAGATGACCCACATTTTCTTGAGGTCAAGTCATAAAGATTAATCACACACTGTTGTCCCAGAAATGTGAGCACATACATTTGTATGGCATCTGGCTTAGTAATTCAGCCATCACTAGGACCCCTTCTACAAACGCTCAAGTCCCTCGTATAAAATGGTAGAATATCGTCTCAGCACCGACAGCAGAGTGGTCATGGAGTCAGACACATACACCGAGGGTAGCAGATTTGAACCCGACCCAGGCCATCTAAACAACAATGACAACTGCAATGACAAAAAATAGCTGGGCATTGTGGCTGGTGCCTGTAGTCCCAGCTACTTGGGAGGCTGAGGCAAGAGAACCACTTAAGCCCAAGAGTTGGAGGTTGCTGTGAGCTGTGATGCCACAGCACTTAGTCAGGGCAACATAGTAAGACTCTGTCTCAAAAAAAAAAGGTGCAATATTTGTACATAATCTGCATAAATTTTATATCATCTCTAGATTACTTATCATACCTAATACAAAGTAAATGCTATGCAAATAGTTGTTATATTGTATTCTTTAGGGAATAATGACAAGAAAAAGTATGTGCCTGTTTATTTTTTATTTTTATTTCATTTTTTTATTTTTCATTTTTTTTAGAGACAGAGTCTCACTTTGTCACCCTCAGTAGAATGCTGTGGCGTCACAGCTCACAGCAACCTCCAACTCTTGGGCTTAAGCTATTCTCTTGCCTCAGCCTCCCAAGTAGCTGGGACTACAGGCACCCACCACAACGCCTGGCTATTTTTTTTTTTTTTTGCAGTTGTCATTGTTGCTTAGCTGACCTGGGCTGGATTTGAACCCACCACCCTCCATGAATGTGGCTGGCATCGTAACCACTATGCTACAGGTGCTGAGCCTATGTGAGTGTTTAGTACCCATGCAATTATTTTCCTGAATATGTTCTTTTTTTTTTTTTTTCCTTTTTTTTTTTTTTTGAGACGGAGCCTCAAGCTATCCCCCTGGGTAGAGTGCCATGGCATCACGCTCACAGCAACCTCCAACTCCTGGGCTCAAGCGAGTCTCCTGCCTCAGCCTCCCAAGTAGCTGGGACCACAGGCGCCTGCCACAACGCCTGGCCATTTTTTGGTTGCAGCCATCATTGTTGTTTGGCGGGCCCAGGCTGGGGATTCGAACCCGCCACCTTAGGTGTATGTGGCTGGCGCCTTAGCCGCTTGAGCCACAGGCACCGAGCCAATATGTTCTTTTTTTTGAGACAGAATTTCACTCTATCACCCTCAGTAGAGTGCCATCACGTTACACAGCTCACAACTCCTGGGCTCAGGCGACTCTCTCGCCTCAGCCTCCCGAGTAGCTGAGACCACAGGTGCCTGCCACAACGCCCAGCTATTTTTTTGTTGCAGTTTGGCTGGAGCCAGGCTTGAACCCGCCATCCTCAGCATCTGGGTCCAGCGCCCTACCCACTGAGTCACAGGCACCACCCCTTTTTTCTTTCTTTATATATTTTTTTGAGACAGAGTCTCACTATGTCACCCTTGGTAGAGTGCTGTAGTATCACAGCTCACAGCAATCTCAAACTCTTGGGCTTAATCAATTCTCTTGCCTTAGCCTCCCAGGTAGCTGGGACTACAGGCGCCCACCACAACACCGGACTACTTTGCTGTTATTGTTGTTGCAGTTGTCATTGTTGTTTAGCAGACCCAGGCTGGGCTTGAACCCGCCACTGGCACTGTAACCACTGAGCTATGGGCACCAAGCCTTTTCCTGAATATTTTCCATCTGAGTTTGGTAGAACCCACATCATGAGGGATGAGGCAGAAAAGGCCAAGGTTGAGAGAGCCCTAGTGCAGCTTTTTGGCCTATACCAGACCCTGACTTCCTTGCTTGCCAGTAACTTGCCAACCCAGGACCACCTGAGGATGGATGAATTACTAAACCAAGTGCTTTAGTAATTGCTTGAGCTTACCTTCGTATGACAACATTTTATGATTAACTCCTACAGCTTGACCTCAAAACAATGCCTGTCATATATGGGTTTTTGTTTGTTTGTTTTGGAGAGACAGAATCTTACTCTAGCACACTCTAGAGTGCCATGGCGTCACACAGCTCACAGCAACCTCCAACTGCTGGGCTCTTGCCTCAGTCTCTCAAGTAGCTGGGACTACAGGCACCTGTCACAATGCCCGTCTATTTTTTTGTTGCAGTTCAGCCAGGGCAGGTTTGAATCCACCACCTTCAGTATATAGGGCCGGGGCCCTACCCACTGAGCCACAGGTGCCGCCCACTAACTGGGTTTTTGAACTTTTAAAACATTATCATTGCCCCAGAAGGGGTCCCCCTCCTGCTCAGAAAGGGCCCTAGTCTGCCTGTAGGGTAGGATCTACTGTTGGTCTCTCAATAAACCTTTTGGTGATAGTTGGCTTTCTTGAATTCTTTCTCATGCAAAGCCAAGAATGGTGGAGGAGGCCTTCTCCCTTCATTGGGTACCTCCTGCACAAATGCAGGGTCCTCACATACAAGACTGACTACAATCCTTTTTATTGTGATACAATACATAATAACAAAATTTCGCCATGTTGGCCACTTCTCAGGGTACAATTCAGTGGTGCTAACTGCCTTCTCAATGTTGTGCAACCTCCACCTCTATCTAATTGCAACACTTTTCCAGCTTCTCAGACGCTCTACCCATTGAGCAGTCACTGCACATGCCCCTCCCCACAGCCCCAGGCAGATTTGCCTGTTCTGGACATGTCATATAAGTGGAATCATATTTGTCCTCTTGTGTCTGTCTGACTTTCTTCACGGAGGTCATGGAGGTGTGGAGGCCAGCAGGCTCCCTGCACAGGTGGATGTTCAGACCCCCAAGAAGGGCAGCGTCTAGAATTCCAGCTCAAGACTGTCTAGACCAAGGGAGCTGCTCTCACTTACAGGGTCCTGGGATCAAGGGCTGTGACACTGTCTTTTGCCAGTCACAGCCCCCAGGCTCTCAGGCCCCCACACGACATGCTTCCAAGATTAAAGTTTGCACAACAAGCGGGGGCGGGGAGGATGAGAGCAAGAGAGGACACTTCTCCCTGGGCCACTGCAAAGGGCTGAAATACCTTCCTGAGAGTATCTACTGGCTGGCCTCCCCTTCTCTCCTGGGCCAGAACTGGGTTAGATGCCCCTTTGAAAAGCCACTGCCTCGGCTCAGTGCCTGTAGCTCAACAGCTGGGGTGCCATCCACATACACTAGAGCTGGCGGGTTTGAATCCAGTCCAGGCCTGCCAAACAACAATGACAACTAGAACCAAAAAATAGTCCCAGCTACTTGGGAGGCTGAGGCAAGAGAATCGCTTAAGTCCAAGAATTTGAGATTTGCTGCCACAGCACATAGTGAGGGTGACATAGGGAGACTCTGTCGAAAGAGAGAAAGAAAGAAAGAGGGGGAGAGAGAGAGAGAGAGAGAGAGAGAGGAAGGGAGGGAGGGAGGGAGGGAGGGAAAGAAAGAGAGAAAGAAAAGAGGTTCCATGAGTGTTTTATAGAATTGAGAGTAGAAATGTGGGTCCCTGAGCAGCACAGTTGGCTCAATGAGGACGGTCAGCTCTGGGCCACTTGGTCACTATGCAACTGACCTTGTTGGATCCGCCTGGGATGGACAAGGGCAGCTGGTGGCCCTGGCTGAATCTTGCCCACCATCAGGCAGCCTCGGTCAAGGAGACATCAGTTCCTCCCCAGCAGCATCTGCCACATAGCCAGCTA